GAATGAATGAATGAATGAATGAATGAATGAATGAATGAATGAATGAATGAATGTCTCAGAATCTTCTGTACCACTGCCCTGATATTTACTGTTGTGCTTTTGTTGTTGCTATGGCTCCTTTTTTAAAAAACAGCTGTTGTGCTACATTGCTCTTACACATTACCTTTGGTTAAACAGTGTGATGTTTCTGTTTTCATTTTAGCTAATGGGTGAACTCACCCATTATGGTTTCTCGCTATGGACCTCTACAGGCCACACATGGCATGATAAATTCTACACCAAGCTCTTATTTTTAAATGGATTGAAGGAGGAAAGAGGAAGAGGACTATTTAACTCAAGTTTTGGGGACATTTACATGCAGGCCAAGACAGCTCATCCAAGTACTGTGTTGTGGACTAAAGCTCTCACTCTTCCCCATGTTGACTTGAGGATGATGGGAGCTGTATTCCAGCATACCTGGGAGGGTCCAGACTGGGGTTGGCTGCCTTCCAGTGTGAGTCGGAAGACCTGTCCTTTGTGTTATCATGACAGGCTATGCAGCCAAAGAGCCTGACCATCATCTTGTAGGGGGTAGGGTCGTCAAAGAGGCAGCCCCTCACAATATATCGGTACAATCTATTTCTCTATTAATATAAGAATCTGAAGGTGGCTCTCCCCTGTTCAAGTCACGCTTCCCTTTTATACGGAAGCCAAAAATAATTCTACACCAAGTTCTTCACCTGTCAGCCTGCCTTTCCTTTTAACCAGATGCTGGAACAATTGCTCAGTTCAGACTGGGCTAGCAGGAAGTGGCACTCTTCCAAAAGTGTTGCAAATTGAATGTGTTTCCCCCTTTACTGTGGAAGAGCAAGATTAAAAGACAATCCTGCTGCTAACAAGATAACTAGGTGGTACACTTATCCTTACAACAATTTGCACCTGGCCAATTCTGCAAGTGAATTTTGGGGCCAGAGCATACACTAACAAAGCAGAATAGCCAATTATATACGAAGTAACGGATTCTACAGTCTCTGCCCAGATTGATGTCCCAAATTGCACTGGTTGAGCAATCCAAATCTAGAACCCCCTCCTGTGTGTATGAGTATTATTTTCTTCCCAATTTACTGGTAAGTTAAGTATACAAAGCTAGCCAGGAGGAAAGATCCTCTGCGATCTCCCTGGGGCACCTGGATCTAATACTGAATTATGGCCTTGCTACCGTCCCCTGGGCAAGACATCCATCATTGTGACTTTTGTAGCTGTCCACGGTAATGATGCACACACCCCCTTTACCAGAGTTAATGAGTGCTTTAATTACTGCATTTACCCACGCAGCTGTTGGCTGCTGTCAGCTTTTCCCTTAGCTTTAATTCACATTCATTCTCACATACACATAAGGCAGTGTGATAGGGAAGATCCAGGAATGGCCTGTTGGGTGGGCAAAGCAGGTTGGTACTGGAGGGATACAGCCCTGAGAAGATCACAAGTCTCTTGTCAAGTGAGCAGTTACCTTGCTTCGGCCTGCCCCACCTCCCTTCCAGCCAGCAACTGGAACAAACACCAGGCTGCCCCCCAATTCCAAGGAAAATGTCTGAGAGCGCCACTCCAAGTCCTCATTCATTGCTGGCTGAAAACTGCCAATCTTATCATCTCCCACCTCAACTGTCTTTTGCCAGGGTGAAATATACCCAGCTCCTTTAATCGCTTCTCATAGGGCTTAATTTTCCTGATTGCCTTTCTTCTCTGAATCTGTTCCAATTTCTTGAATCTTTTGTAAAATCACTCGAACTGTGAGTAGTCAAAGTGGGGTCTGACCAAGTCAAAAGGAAGTGGAATGATTATTTCTCATTATTTGGAAATTAAACTTCTGCTGATGCATCCTAAAATTGCATCTGAACTTTTTGCAGCTATTTATGAGCTGATAATCTGAGACAATATCACCTTCTCTTCCAAATCATAAAATATTATTTTGCCAAACATTCTTATCGATGTATATTTTTATGTGATATGTTTATATAAAGGAATGCTCCCAGCCTCTGCAATATCTGCGAAGCAACTTCAATAACTTTTGTATCGCTCTCCTGAGGCCTGCATATATAAATCTCCAGAGCCAGATGGATTACATCCCAGGGTACTGATGGAACTCATGGAGATGATCGCTAAACCACTCTTGATAAATTCTGATACCTTCTGGAGATCATAGAAGACTGGAAGAGAGGGGAAAGGAGGAGGACAGGTCTAAACTGGGCAAGGTGCTTCAAAAGTTTGTCAAGCAGCATGTTTATGAGCACTTGGCTAAGCACAGTACAATTAAGAGGAATCACCATGGATATTTTCCACACAGATTGTGCCAGACTAGCCTCATCTCCTTTTTTGATAGTTACTAGTTTAGTAGATCTGGCAAAAGCTGCAGACACAGAATACCTGGACCTCAGCAAAGCCTTTCACTGCGTGCCTAATGATACACTCCTTCATAAAATGGTAAAATGGGCTGGATGGCACTACCTGTAGATGGACACGCAGTTGGCTGAATGACTGCATGAAAAAATGCTCATTAATGGCTCCATTTCAGCTTGGAGACAGGTATCAAGTAGAGTGCTCTAGGGCTTTGCCTTGGGCCCTTTACTGCTCAACAATTTTATCAATGACTTGGATGACAGCTTAGCAGGCGCTTATAAAGTTTACAGGTTCCAAAAAAAAACTGCAAAGGTGGCTAATACTTTAAATAAAAGGGGCCAGAATTTTAAAAGATCTAGAAAGCAGTGGGCTGAAATGAATAGGATGGAATTTAACATGGAGAAATGCATCTTTATCTGAACACGAAAAATGTAAGGCACATTACACAAATGTAAGGAAGACCTGACTAGGTAGTAAAATAGTTTCAGGAAAGGATTTATCAGCGTCAGGCAGAATATCCTTCCACCTATGCTATTATTTGGCAGGTATGCCAGTATTTCCCAATCTCACTGTATTTGCCCTTGTGATTCTGGGGAAGTCAATTCAATTCAACTTGTCCTATTTTACTATAACTTTTATAAGGACCTTTGAAAGGACATCATAACCCCTCTTTTACTAAGTGTACTTGGGAGAATGGATGGTTTTTACACCCATTTTTACCTTCAGACTCAAATCATGAAATCACTTACATGGTAGCCAAATTTATTGTTGCAGCAGTTAAAGTGAGGCAGCAGTTAACATCAAACTTAACGTGACAATCTCTTGTCTCAATTTCTCTTTCCTTTTCTTTTGTCTGATTTCATTTGGCTGTTTCTACTGCTGATCTCGGATCATAAATTGAGAATTTGATTTGATGCGAATCTATTTTTTTTCTTACAAGCAAATGCTTAAATCCAGCCCATGTTTATTAAACCTTAAGACAGATCTGTTAGGAGCCTGGTGGAAGAGAATACCATTAGACCTGGCAGTGTATTAAAATGACAGACCTTACAGCTAAGCTTTGAGCCT